ACCCGTGCTGGTTTCCCCTCAGCATCGTTTCCCCTGCTGGGCCTGCACAAATGTCTTCTTTGATTATTTTCTCTAGCGTTTTCCCTGGAATAGAGGTAAGACTGACTGGTCTAAAGTTTCCCAGCTCATCCCTTCTCCCTTTCTTGAAAATGGGCAACACAAAGGCCCTTCTCCAGGCCTTGGACCTGGCTGGAGCACCATGAGTGCTCGAACAGCTGTGCCAGCGGCTCAGCTATGACACTGGCCAATTCTTTCAGCAGCCGTGGATGGAGGTCATCTGGGCCTGCTGACTTGTACCCATCCAGCTCCTCCAGGAGCTCCTTAACTATTTCAGAACTAACCGTAGGCAGACTGGTGCCATGTGGACATCCGTCAATGATCGAGGTGGAGGAATTGATTTGGTTGGTACTTAGAAATACTGAAGCAAAGAACTCATTGAAGAGCTCTGCTTTTTCCCCCGCGTCAGCCACCAACTGTCCTGATTTGTCCTGCAGGGGCCCTATGTTGCTCTGAGCTTTCCTTTTGCCCGCTATATACCTGAAGAAGGACTTTTTATTGTCCTTGATTGTTGAAGTCAGCCTGAGCTGAAGCCCCGCCTGGGCCTGTCTAACTGATTCCCTGCACTACCACGCCAGGGAGATATATTCCTCCTTGGTGGCTGCTCCCTGCTTCCATTGCCTATACATCTCTTTCTTTGCCCCCAGACTCTCCTGGAGTTCCCTGTTCAGCCAAGGGGGCTTTTTTGTCCCCTTACCTCCCTTCCTATGTAATGGGATAGACTCCTTTTGAGCCCCAAGGATCACTCCCTTGAGATAGATACCTCCAACCCTCCTGGACCCCCGTTTGCTCTATTCTTGAGTTGCATCCCCTCACTAACTAGCCTTCTAAGCTTGCTAAAGTTGGCCCCTCTGAAGTCCAACACCTTAGCTCCACTAGTTACTTTACCCACCCTTCGCTGGATAGTGAACTCGACCAAGTGATGGTCACTATCTCCCAGGCTACCATGACCTTGCATGTTCCCCACAAGATCATCCCCTGTTGCTAAGACCAGGTAAAGCAAGGCGCTACCCCTGGTGGGACTAGACACCACCTGGGTTAGGTGAAGGTCCTGCACACATTGTAAGAACCTCCATGAGCGGCTTGTTTCGGCTGTCTGCTCCTCCCAGCAGATATCTGGGCAGTTTAGATCTCCCATGACCACTGCCTCCCTTGCAGTTGTATGCATCTATGGTTGTGTGTGCATTCCAAAACCAGATTCTGGTCTTTAGAAACACTCTACTGAACCCCGAAGCCCCCAAAACTGGCTCAGGAAGCCAAAAAGGAAGGTTCCCAGTTTTTATGTTGGGGATGCTTGGGGCGGGGGGGGGTGAGGGTCACGGACCAATGGGCTCAGGAGATGGGGAGAAGGATAGGAGAATGAACATTAGGGCATATACATTCAGGATATATATAACAGGTAATAAACAGTGACACAGTGGTGAAACCATTCAGGAGCAGATAGCAAGTTAATAGATAGGGAACTTTAACAACTTGGTATATACACTGAAGAAAACTTAGACTCTCCATTAACTCCACAGGAAGCTCCAAACCACTTGTTGGCTCCACAGAACATTAGTCGCAGTCTGCTTGGGCTCTCCACCTGAGCCCCACTGCGCTGGTCTACAGATTCAGCGCTGCTGCTGCATTTACTCTCTGCCATGTGTCTCTCCAGCTGCCACCTCTCACTGCCACTCTCTAACTGCAGAGCCATTTTGCACACAGTCCCGGCTCTCCTCTGCTTCCTCTCTTCCCCAGGAGCCTTCTGGGAACTGTAATTCATGCTATGACATTACAGTCCATTACAACTCTTTCAAAAAGTCCCTGTATCTGGTCATAACAATGATTTGAGAAGCTGAAGGTGAAGCTATAGAAATATTTACCTGCTCTTCTTTAGATGTGATTCAAACAGCTTGTTGGTTGAGTTTGATGTAGTATCTTGTGAAGTGCTATCTTGCACTGCCTCTGCAGGAGATATTGAGCCTGGATGACAACTGAGCAAATTGAAGTTGATGTGGAGTCCCATGAAGAGCTGAAATATAAGGCCTCTGCTTCTTCTACCGTAGTTGGTACAACTTCCATCCAAGATGATTCAGCTTTTTGCTTCTTAAAGTAGTATGCATCAGTAGGGAAATTTTTGGCACAAACATTTTATGAGAAAGTCCATCTCTCAAGCAAAGTAAAAAAGGACAAAATCCTCTTTTAAAAAAAAATGCTGTTGCAGGGAAAAGGAAGGGGTAAGATTACTTAAAGAAGTGAAAGAGCGAGGTGTCTTTTCCCTTTGAAAATGAATCCTGTAAACCTTGCTTATTTTGTTCATCTAAAGTCTTATAGATTGCAAATATGCATAAACTTTTATATGTCCTTCATAGGGATGTCTTGTTCCTATGTTAACAGGGGAGAGAAAACACAAAAGCAGAAAAGAAAAGGAAATCTGATTGTGCAAATACAAAATGTGGTAAAAAATTTGAGCTAAAATGAGGCGCAACTACCTATTACTAAATTTCCTTGGTGGTGTTGAGGAACCTCTTGCTGGGAAGGCCAAATGTTTCTGCTATAGCTGGGAATAGCTAGTTGCTCCACTGCACCTTTATGGTGAAAACAGTCCTGAATCACATCTCTAATATGATTTTAACAACCCTGGCTGTGTTGTGTCCATGAAGTTTTTTTCACAAGACATTGGTGTACCTACTGTGTTTGTTTTGTCACTTACCACACTAC